CTGTAATTTGTGTAATTGATCCTACTTCTACTCTCTTGGAGTCATGCACCACAATTCTAACACTTTTCCATAGGACATCCTTCAAATGTTGGGAGACAGCTGTCATGGCCCTTCAAAGTCTTCCCTAGGCTGATCATCCCTTCTGCTAATCCTCCTGTGACAGTGGTCCTACTCCCCTGTGTCATCATGGTCACTCTCGTATAGGCACTGTCATGTTCATCAGGGTCCCTCTTAAAATGCTGTACCCTGAGCTAAATAAACACCAAACTCCAGACATAGCCTTGTGGTTCTGTGATAGATGAACAGAATCCAAGAGCTGAAAAGGACTTTGAGACATCACCTCATTCAGCCTTCCCCTCTCACCAGGTAAATGACCAACCTATCCAGGTCTGAGAGTTGCTACTTTTCTTACTCACCTCCATGCAGCTTTTATCCCTTTTATTGGGGAAAAAAAAACTTAGAAAGAATATCAGCAAAGAAATAACCCTATAATACTTAGATCCTTTCATTTTCATATACCCTTTGTTAAAAGGGTCCATAGAGGTATATAGTCCAACCTCCACCCAAATCATGATGCTCTGTGCCATGAGCACTTGCCAGGTGGTCATCTAGGCTCTGTTTGAAGACCCTCAATGACAAGGAATTCACTCTCTCTTGAAGCAATCCATTCCATTGTTGGAGAGCTCTAATTGTTGAGAAGATTCTTCCTATTTTGATCCAAAATCTTTGTCCTGTCCTGAAAAATTCTACCCACTTATCCTCATTCTGCCCTCTGAGACCAAGGAAATTAACTCTAATTCCCACTCCACAGAATCAGTGTTTATTTAGAATTATTTTTGTTACTCAGTAAAATGACTTGTAATGCCCATTAGACTATAACCAACTCCCATTGGAAAATGCCAGAATTTTTTTTTAAAAATTAATTTTTTAAGCAGAATCCCATCTGGATATTAGCATAGAACCTTTTATCCAAGTACAGGCACCTTGTTCTCATGACAGGATAGCCAAGAACAGGATCCCTAGTGGTACTACTTCCAGCAGTCCAAGTAATCTCAAGAGTTTTAAAAGATTAAAGCTAGTCAAATATTTACTGAACACCTACTGTGTGCAAAGCACAGCACCTGCTCTCAAAAAGTGTCTTCCAAACGACAATGTAAGGACTTGAGTGGTCCTAGAAGATAATTACCCAGCCTTGGCTCAGGAAAGCTTCCCTCCAGGTCTCAGCAAGTCTAAACTGAGGTAGTAGTTGGAAGAAAGCCTAGTCACGCCAGGCTCTCTGGATTAGCCAAGGACCACTGTTTCAGATGCCTCCAAATGCTTTGAAGGATAAGAAAATAAGTAACCAAGTTATCTGGAATTCCCTACCCAGCTAATATGATTGAGTTATAGTATGCCTCTTTGGGGCAGGGAAGAGGAAATGAACATTCTTCTCCATAGCAAGCCGTCCTCATTTGTAAAATGCAGGAATTGGACTAGAAAACAACAATAATAATAGCTAATATAGCTAGTAATGGCCTGAGCTCTTCCTAACTTCAGCACTCTAGCTACTGAGCCACCGAGATGGCCCCTGAGGTCTCTCTCAGCTCTCCATCCGTGATGCAGATCTCATGATCCATTTATAGCACCATATCTTCCCCTATCATAGAGGTGGCATTCCTTAAAAGGTGGCATATGGACACTGGGTCAGGGATAAAGGGCCTTCTCCATTCCTCTTTGTTTTTTGACCCCCAATACCCGAGATATTCTAAGCAACTTCTCACGTCATTTAAATCAACCCAGAGTCCGAAATATGAAACCTAAAAATGTGATTCTTCCCTTACACCTTTACAATTCTGGCACTAGACTAGTCTCTTTCATCTAAATGGCTAACAAAACATTACAAACATTACCCACAGACCAAATGGTAAATCTAATTCTTTTTTGCTTTTGCACGTAAATATCAGGGAGCTCACATGAGTATTAAGGGATGAAATCAAAATTAGGGACACAAAATAAAGAAATCTATGAGTTGGAAGAGATCTCAGAGGCCAATTAGTCTAGTATCTCTGGTCTCTGATTAAAGAGGGGGGAAACCACTACCTCCTTGGTAGCCCATTGGACAGCTCTGATTGTCAGAGAGAGGCATAACCATTGTATCATGGTTACAACTCAGAGCTTGGAGTCAAGAACTGGGTCCACACAGCTACCAAGTGTCTGAGGCCAGATTTGGATTCATGAACATGAGTCTTCCTGATTACAAACCCAGTGCTCTATCCACTGCACCACCTAGCTGCCCCCATGGAATCAGACCCCTCAAAAACACAGCATGACAGACTTTGCCAAATTCTAGAATCCATATACGTTATGTCACATTACAGTAGCCAGACAAATATATTGCTTTAAGTTTTACAAAGTACTTGACATTTTTATCTCCTGTAAGCCCCACGAGGGAAAGCTTACAGATATTGTTACACCTGTTTTGAAGATAAGAAAGCTAAGGCTTGGAAGGGTTAAGTGATTTGTCCATGGTCTCAGTTTTTAAAGATGAGAGGTGAAATTTGAACCCAGATCTCTACTAATTCCAAGTCCAACCCTCTTGCCACTATGCCATGCTGACTGAGCAACATTCCCTAGATCTACCTGTCCAGCTGCCCTGTTAAAGAAGGAAATGAGGCTGCTCTGTCATGGACTGCTCTGGATGAAACCATGCTAGTATTCAGTGAGAACTACTTCCCTTTCCAAGTGCTTACAAACCAGCCTTTGAATAGTATGTCCTTGAATTATGCCAGGAAAATTTGGCCCATAGATTGCATCACCCTCTTCCTTTTTTTGAAAATCAGAATAAAATTGGCTCTTCTCCAATTATGCAACATCTCTCATTCTATACCATCTTTCTAAGAATCACTTATGACTCAGAAATCATGGATCCAGAATGAGGGATGAATGGCTAGGCAGCAGTTTGTCTGAAAACAATCTTGGGGGGTTTGGTGGACAGCAGGCTCTGTATAAATCAGCAAGAAAGCTAACAGGTCTCAGGCTGCATCAAGAGTGGCATAGGCATAGCTTCTAGCAATAAGGAAGTGATAGACCCTGGGTCAATCCCCTTCTGGCATATTCTATTTAGCTCTGGGCCCCGAGTCTAAGAAGAGCATACAGGGAGCATGCAGGTGAGAACAGCCAGAATGACAAAGGGCTTTGAATCCATGCCATGTGGATCAGTTGAGAAAATGGGAGATGTTTAGCCTACAAGAGAGAGGCTTGGAGTGGGGGAGCAAGTCTTTGAGGGGCTGTCATGTGGAACAGCCATCCAGAAGGCAGTGAAAAGAGCATTGCTCCAGAGTCAGAGAACATGGGTTCAAATCCCGCCTCTGCCACTTACTGCCTGAGTGACCTTGAGCAGGCTACTTCATTTCCCCATCTGCAAAATGGTCTTTGAGGTTCCTTTTACTTCTAGATCTAGCAAATTTAGAATAGAGTCAGAAAATGTCCTAACAATTAAGAGGGGAATGTCCAGGAGCAGGGTAGGCTACCTATCCTCTTTATTTACATTACTCCATCCCCCCCACACATGCATCAGCAAACTTTTATTCTGTTCCTTTTAAATAAAATAGGCCTTTCTAGGGCCATATTCCATGTATGAGCCCCATCTACGAAATTGCAAAGATACCTATGTGTTCAAATTTGCCTACTAGCTTAGGCATAATTCTCTATCTAGTTTATAAAATTATCCTATTTATGCATTTGTACAAATGTATAGGCTTAAACCTGCACTGAGACTTTTGGGACACCCAGTATAAATGGCTGAGTTGGAAGGGAGCATAGAGACCATCTATAACCTCTATCCTACAATTAAAAATTGGAAGGGATAGTGGAGATCATCTGCTTTGAGCCTTTGTTTTACAGAGGAGGAAACTGAGGCCTAGAATGGAGGCATGACTGGCCCAAGGTCACATATTGTTGGAGCCAGAATTCAAACCTAGGCTTTCTGAAGCAATGCTGTACTTTTGGGGGGAGTGAGGGGAGTAAAAGGGAAGTAGTATCTAATTATGAAGCTTCCTTTCAAGCTGTCCAATAGCTTCACTCATTCTGGTTGCAGCTCCTTTAGCAAAAACCACTGAACCTATAGAGGCAGGTGTAAGAATAGGTTAATATATTCCTCATTTCTGGCCCTGGATCCTTTCTTGAATTTCTTGGAACATCATGGCGATATCACCAATATCACTGATATCACTGATCCCAAGTTATTAAATGTATATTATCATGGTATAGAAATAACTATTCTAACATCTCCATGTGGATGACAATGTGTTCTCCACATAAACACACCACCAATCTGCTCATCCAAGAACGCTTTGTCATTTTAAGATCAATTAAAAATTTGAGGAGGTGCTATGATATAGTGAAAGGAGTAACGGCTTTGGAGAAAAGATCTGAATTCAAATTCTGATTTTGCTTCTTATTTCCTGTGTGACTTTCAGCAAGTTATTCACCCTTTCCAGACCTCAGATTCCTCCTCTATGAAACAAGGGACTTACACTAAGTGAACCTCTAGGATTTCTTCTCGAGCCAATGATCTTTGTTTAAGTGATAGGATATGTGTAAAGTTGCTTTAAAGCAAACCAGAAACCTAGCAGATGTCACATTGTTAAGCCGTTTATGCTGAGAATGGAAAGAACGCGAAATAAATAATTTAACTGTGACATTTCAACCAGGTTTTTAGACCCACAGAAACCACAGAATTCACAATTGTTGGTCCCGAGAGCCCTCATCTCATCAGTTAGAATATTTTTAGCACAAGGGACTCGGTGGAGAATTTTTTTTCCTCTTGAGTGGACCAATGAATGAACAGAAATTAAAGAGAAGCTTTGATAAGCCAAAGTCCATTAAGAAATGCTCAGGGAATTGATTAAATGCCGAGTTTTAAAACTACATTTTTAAAAGCGTGCTGCTTTTCGGTGTGGCTTTTCAGACAGCTACTTAACAAACATTAAGGACAAAATTCATTTTTTTTATCTCCACAGCTCTCCCCCAGGCCATCTCTGCAGCACAGTATGGCCCCCTGTAACGAACAATGACTGACCTTGGAGGACTGCAGAGGCCCAAAGAACAGAGCGTTAGACCCCTTTTCTATGGTCTGGTTGCCCATCTTCTCTTTCACAGGTGACGACTTTCATTAGCAAACCTAGCATTGACTATCCTTCCCCACCTTCTCCCCTCACCCTCAACACACCAGCTTGGACCGCTCATCGTCCTGGACACCATGTAGTAGGGCTTCAACGGGCTGTGACGACTGAGTTGCAATGGTTTTACACACTTCCCCATTTCCCTGCTGCTGTCTGTCTATTCTGCATCGCCTTTCTTGGGCTCTGATCTGCCCATTTTACTGGCTTGTGGACAGACTTGTAGCCTCCTGGATACCAACCACCAATGAGAAGTGCCAAAGGGGCTCTCTGTGCTGGGCCCTCCGCTTCATCTTCACCACACCCATTTACTTGGCTCTCTGTACTCTGTCGATACCCAGTGCCATATTTGGGTTTCTTTTGTGGAACCCTCTCCAGCTATGCAGGCGGCCATACATCTATTCTAGGCTGGAAGACAAGAGCCAGGCCAGTGGTACTATACTTCTCAATGAATGGAAGGCCTCGGGCCCTGGGAAAAGTTTCTGTTTTGGCACTGCCAACGTCTGTCTCCTCCCTGAATGCATGGCAAGAGTGAACAATCTTTCCAACACACAAGACCGGGCCAAAGAAATTGGGCAAAGAATCCGAAATGGAGCCAGCAGGCCCCAGATCAAAATATATATAGACTCCCCAACAAACACCTCCATCAGTGCTGCGAGCTTCAGCAGTCTGGCTTCACCCCAGGGCAGCGATGGTCCCAACAAAGCTGTCAATGTGGGCATCAAGAGAACAGCATCCATGGAGTACAAGGGCGACAATGGAAGCCCAAACAACAGTGAAGAGAACAGGAGCCCCAGAGCTGGTGGTGACTCTCATGACGTCGAAGACAATGCCTGCATCATCAGGATTGGCGGAGAGGATGGCCAGCTGTCTGATCCAGAAGCCGACGGCACTGGCGACTGCCAGACGGAAACACCTCCAGAGAATAAAACCGAAGGCCAGAAGGGCCAGACACCCAACCATACGGCCAAGGAAGGGGACGCCGGGAGCTTAGACAGCTACACAGCTTCTAGAGAGTCCCTGGTGAAGGTCCGAATTGGGGAGAGCACCACGGACCAAAGCTCTGTTAACAACAAGTTGCTCCACAAGACTTCCATGCTCAAGAAGACCTCTCTGCGAAAAAAGAAGCATACGGACGAGATCTTTGACCACGAGATCTCTGCCTTCTTCCCTGCCAACTTGGACTTCCTGTGCTTGCAGGAAGTGTTTGACAAAAGAGCAGCAGGGAAATTGAAAGACCAGCTCCACCAATATTTTGAATACGTTCTGTACGATGTCGGGATCTACGGCTGCTGCTGCCCCTGCAAGATCCTGAACAGCTGCTGCCCCTGTGAGATCCTGAGCAGCTCCTGTCCCTGCAAGATCCTCAACAGTGGCCTCCTTTTTGCCAGCCGCTACCCGGTTATGGATGCTGCCTATCACTGTTACCCCAATGGAGGAGGGACCGATGCCTTTTCTTCAAAGGGAGCCTTGTTTGTTAAGGTAAGAACCTCTTCTCTCTGGGGCTTCGTCCTCTTCTGGTAGACCCCTCTGGTAAGGAAACTGTCCTCCTCCGTCTCTGCAAGGGTAACTGCATGGAATAGCATGGTACTAACCCACCAGTTGACCTAAAGCAAGTTATTTCCACTCCTCTATAAAGGGTGGACAGCCTCTAACATCATAAGAGTCTATGGCTGTGTTCTATGTGATGCCTAGGATGTTACACAAAAGATACCATGATTGGGAAATCTTTAGCCACAATGCCACCGGAAATCAGCCAAAGGGTAACTAACAAGCTAGCTCTTGTGGATGGAGTACACTCTTCCATAGCTACAGACTTAGTTTAAATGAGGATTGATAAGAAAAGCTAATGCAGATTAAAGGTAGTAAATTTGATAGATTGGAATTTCAGAGGCCTTGAAAGTCCATTAAAATTTCCCCATTAATTTGGTCCTTAATTGATGTGTTTCATTAGGCTTGTACTTCCCCAACTGCTTTCTAAAACAGGCACACACATCATTATACGGCTGCTTTGGGGGAGGCTCTGCCTACTACAATGTGGCTTCACTTTAGCAGTAACTAATTGAAATTAATAATTGTTTCTTTTAATTTAAATGCAATTGGGGGAGTTTTTAGGTCATAATAATTTGGCCATTAGGTATTGTCTTCTCACTCAACATGAGAAGTTTGTTTCTCTCCCCCCATCCCCCAATACTTTCCCAAAGTTAAATTCAAGTTTTCTCAAAGAAATATTTCTACTCTCGATTGTATAGTCAGATTTTTTTATGTCAGAGGTTAGGAGGTGCTTTTTATTATTATTAATATTTAAATTATTCTTTAGATTATCATCATTAATAAGAATTCTCTTTACAGTTACAAAGCACTTTGCTTACAGTTTCTCTTCAGTCCTCAAAATAACACTGCAAATAGAGCAAGAAATATTATTGCTATTTTACAGGTGAAGAAACTGAGGCTGACAGGTAAGATGACCTGCCCATTGTCACACTGATTAGTAAACAGCCAGGACTGTAACCCAGGTCATCTGATTCTAAATCCACAGGCTTCCCTTCTGTTACTGATTCCTTGCTATTATAATAACAATAACAATAGTAATAGTAGCCATTCATATATTGTTTTATATATAATCACCCTTTGCATACATTATCTCATCTGATCTTCACAACCATTTTTAGAGTTAGGTACTCGGGAATTCTTTTTTCTCACTTTACGATGAAAAACATGAGATTCAGGCATTGATCAGGACCCTGCAGCTAATAAATGTTAGAGGTGAGATTTGAGCCCAGGCATCTCCTGACTCTGGGACTCACACACTTTCCATCACACCGCCTTGCCTGCTTTGGCATGTTTTCCCCCCAAGGACTCTGCTAGCTTTGACTCATTCCACACATTTACATAAAGCAGGAAAGGGACAATCTATGCACCACAGAGATGAGGAAACCAGGACCCCAGAGAGAAGGGCCCTGGCCAGAATGCTGGACTAGGGAGTCAGAGGATTTGGGCTGCAGGCCTAGCTCTTCATCAAACTAGACGCGTGACCTTAGTAGATGGGTCATTGGCCTCTCTGTATCTCCGCTTCTCCATCTGTAAAATTAAGCATAGGCTAGCTTACCTGAATACAAGTTAAGATGCCTGAAGGCAGGGACTGCTCCACTGTCATCTGTGGGTAGTAGTGACAGGCAGCATGGCGGATGGCTAGAAGGCTGGCCTTGGAGTCAGGAAGACTTGGGTTTGAGTCTTAGCTGCATGACCATGGGCCGGTCAGTTGGGTTCTTAGTGTCCCAAGCCAACTCTTTAAAGATTGTAATTTATAGAGGAATTGCTCCTCTGCATCGGTGAAAGATCTCTCCACACCAGGAGTTTCCTCAACTCTGCTGAAGTCACGGGCCAGACCAAATAATCTACCATAGAGCCCAGCACAGGGCTGCACTTGGTAAATGTTTGTGGAATAAATGAACAGAATATCATGTCTAGTTCTGCAAAGCTATGTTCAATATCTCGTTGAGTTAATGACAGAGCTGATGCTAATGAGGCTTTTGTTTTCTCAGCCCAGTGCTGTGACCATCACAAATCAGCATTTTAGCTGTGCTGAAGGTTTGGGGTTACAAATTGTCACTCGAGGGAGTGGAGAACATGGCGCAGTATGTGTTTTTTGCCTTGATCAAAGAGTAGTGGAGGTCCCTCTTGAATATACATACACACACACACCACCCTCCCTCCTCAGATACCTAACTCTCATAGCAACGGCCTTCCCACTTCCCTTCAGGACACTCACCAACTCGCTGAAATGTTTCCTCAATCTTTCCACTAAAGCCTAGGGTTCGGTACTATGTGTGTAGCCCTTACTGGTTCACAGAGGGACTGGATGCCTCAGGGCCCCTCTGGGTTAGCCCAATAACTGTGTGGAAGCCCTGGACACATGACAACATGGGGCAGGGCAATAAGGGGGAAAGGTGGGCTCTTCTTTGGGAGAGCTGACAATGCCTCTGAATTTGTGTATTCTCTGTTATGAGGTCCTGAGCTTTTCACACAGAGTGTAATGTGGTGAAACCAAATTAATTCCTGCTATAACAAGATCTACTCCATCTATTTTTGCCCACCATTTGTCAGCATTTAACAGATTATATTTTGGTCGTGGCTGCCAGAATTACTTTCCCATAAAAGCAGCATTTCTTATGTAAGGCTTAGAATGGATAGTGCCCCATTAACGTGCATTCCATTAAAAAAAAAAAAGGAGCTTTCAGGGCCTGGAAGCCCCAGCGATGGAAGAGTTTGTCACTTTACCTCAGCATCACCAGGTCAGAGCACAGTCCATGTCAGTAATAATTTGAAAAGCATTTTGTCCTCTTCCCACCTGGGACTAATTCCTCAACTCTTTGGTATTTATTTTGGTAACTTATCGAGCAATTGTCTGTGGTTCCTAATGCCTCACCCCAACCCTGACCTGCCATATTGATTCAACAAACATTAAGTAAATGCCTACTATGTGCTGAGCACTGTGCCAGGTGCCAGAGATGCAAAGACAAAAGCAAAACTGATCTTTGTCCTCAAAGAACTTACAGTTTAAATAAGGAGAAACAATAGTTCCACACCCCTAGAATTCCTTTACACAGCCAACTCCTCTAGAAAATTTAAAGTATGATTATTCAGAAACATTAAACTTTCACTTGACTGTTTTAAGCCCTTCATATTATATAAGTTTTACTTATATTAAGTTTTATACAATACACATAGACAGACAGACAGAGAGTGTTTTACTACACAAGAACCAGTAATTCTTGGCTACTACTACCAAGATCAGGGAGCAGGATTTGTAAGTAACTTCAAAAGCAATACATTTAATTTCCCTTTTGAGGCAGACCCTGGAGGCCTCAGATGATACTGAGTTCTAACTCAAATTTCCTTATGGATTTGGAAACCATGTGCTCCCACAAACAAAACAAAAAAACCCCTTTCTGGTATCTTGCTTTAAAAAAGTGTTCAGACTCAGAGAAGGCACGTATGGGTCTTCCTTAAGTATTTCATATGAATTCTTCATCTATCCTGTTAGGGATGATCAGGTTAACCAAGAGAGAACATTATGATATAAAGGGTTTTGCACTGGTCTGAACACTTTCAGCCCTAAGTAGGTTCAGGTTGTCATTGGTTCCAAATGTGGGAGCTGAGAAGGGAGCCTTAATGCCTCCTAGGATCATCTAATACATCCAGGTCTGGATCCCTGGGAATCCTCCCTTTTAACACCAAACTGTTCTATGCTTCCATGTTCACAGAACCCCAGAGCTTGAAAGGATTTCTGAAGCCATCTTGTCCAACTTCTATCTGAACAGGGAAACTCTTTTATAGGAGACGAGTGTTCATTCAGTCTCTACTTGAGACCTCCCATGACGGGGGACTCATGATCCTTTGCAGTAACCCATTCTTGGACAGTTCCAATCATGAGGCTTCTTTATTTGAAGTTAGAATCAGCCTCTCAGCAATACCCTCCCTCTTTAATTCTTATCTCCATCATTCTCAGTTCTGCTCTCTCAGGCCAAGCAGAACATATCTAATCCTTCTTCCACATGACAGCCCTTCAAATACCTGAAGACAGCAGTCACATCTCTACTGCATAAGCATCCCCAGTGTCTTCAGCCAAGTATAATATCCCCGATATGGTCTGACCATGGCAGAATACAGGACTATTCCCTCCCTCATTTCTTGATGATATCCCTCCATAAATGCGGCCCAAGTTTACAATAGCTCTTCTGGCTGCTATGACACATGATTGATTCATCCTGACCTTGCAAGTCCAGTGAAATTCTAGCCATGGTTCCACCATCTTGTATTTGTGCAGTTCTCTTACAACTCAGACTTCTCATTCATTTCTATTACATTTCATCATGTTATATCAGCCCAGTATTCTAGACTGTTGAAATCATTTTGCATCCTGTTATCCAACATCTTAGGTATCAATCTCAGCTTTGTGTCACTTGCTAATTTAACGAGGGTCTGCACTAGGGTAGAAGCAATGGGAACAGAATGAAGGAAATGTAAGATACGTTTGAAGAGTAAAACTGACACAATTTGATCATTGTTTAGATATGAGATAGTCATGAGGAGAAACACCTGCCTTCAGGAAAAAAAGTGCTACGTTCATTTATGGGCATGATGCATCTAAAGTAACCTGAGTTTACCAGGTGGCAATGTCCTCGAGGCAGTTAGAGATGTGCATCTAGAAATCAGAAGAGAGATCGGGTTAGGAGATAGTGATTTGGGAAGTCATTTACATAGATGTGGTAGTTGAGGCCATGAAAGTGAATGAAGTTGCCAAGGGAGAAGAAAAGAGAATCAATCCATCAATCAATAAGCATTGATCAAGTGCTTATTGCATGCCAGGCACTATACCAAGCCTTGGGGATTCGAAGAAAAAGTACAAATGCCCCCTGCCCTCATGAAGCATACATTCTGATGGAAAATTCAACATATACATAAATAGGTGTATACAA